ACAACCTGGATAAATCTCCAACAAATTCAGTTTGTGGGTTTGAGCTACAAATAGTTATTTTTCTATGTTATGTGCAAAAATATTAAAGACTATGATTTCTCGTGCTAAAAGCAGCATGTTGTCCCTATTATTCCTAATAATTTCTCAAATGCAGTATTCTGGTATCTTATTCTTTGGGTAGGCTTGAATTTGGTTATTGAATGGTTGAGAATTGAATGAATGAATGGATGAATAATTTTGTATATACACATGTTATAGGTGGCGCAAAAAATATTACAGAACAAATTATAAAAATTAAATGAGACATTTTGGTAACTAAACAAATATCATAGGTTGGTTTTTGGCCACTAAAATTTTAATCGCCAATTGTTAAAAAGTAAACTTTTTGGCTACTAAACTCTTAACCACCAATTGTAAAAAATAAACTTTTGGCTACTAAATTTTTAGTCGCCAATTCTCAAAAAGTGAAACTTTTGGCTACCAAATAATTAGTCGCCAAACATACATGCTCAATTGGCTGCTAGATAATTTAGTCGCTAAAAGTAAAAAATATATATATTTAATTATTTTTGAAAAATATAAGGTGACTAAAGTTTTAGTCACCAATAGGTCACTTTTGGCTACCAAAAAAATTTTAGTCGCCGATTGTCTTTCCCGATGAACTATTGGCGACCAAACTAGCGAATAATATATTAGTCGCCAAAGGTAATTGGCGACTAAAATTTTGGTCGCCAAAAGTGAAATTTGTTGTAGTGGTTAAAGATTTTGATGAAAATCAAAAGATGAATGAAAGATCTTGGACCTAAGAGATGAGTTGTTTTCTTTTAAATTATTTAATAGCATGCTTATCATTCTAAAAGTTTAATGTAGTATAGCTATGTTTTTACTACCCCTATTAATTCTACTCCTAGAGGCTTTGTTAAGCTATTTGAGTAAGCAGTGTTTGGAGTGAGAGGAGCTCTAAATTGTGGGAGTTGTTTTTTTCTTTTAGCCTATGTTCCTATGAACTCAATACTCCATTTAACACTGTTATTCTTTATTGAGCTGAGTGTTCACTGTGGATTGAGAGATATAGTTGTCCTATATTGTGAGTTTGCTACAAACAGTGTTATATTGGTTCTTAATGCTATATTTCATTTGTGTGCTCTTATGATTCTAGGTCAGCTTGATCTCTGTTGGGACATGAAGATATATGCATATGGTCTACATATTGTCCAGGTTGACGCTAGAGTGTATGGAGGAATGGATGGAATTTTGTTGGCTGGACTTTATTTTGGTTAGGATTCGGTTTTGTGGTCTTTTGAACTTGTTCATTATCCCTATTCCTTTGTATATATGGATGTTGATCAGGTTATTCGGATCAAATCGTTTAGTTGCTTATCTGTTTAGGCTTTAGCCCTGTTTAGTTGTAGTAAGTCCTAGGGTATGCCCTGGGAAACTTGTAAATTTTCTTGTTTTATTTTATGACTTATTCACTCAAAAAAAAAAAAACTCTTCGGTAGCTGGTTGCTCGTATGATATTAGGTGAATATTTTTATCTGATTATAATTCTGATCATATTTCAGAATTAAGAGAGAGAACAAAAAAAAAAGGTGGCGCTTTTTAAAAAACGCCACCAAATGACATCATGATAATGCGTTAGTCTGTGACAGAAATGGAAGGCGGACATCAAAGATTTTATGGCATTTTAAAAAACACCGTCTAATAGTTTTAGTGACGGTTTTCAAACGTTGTAAAGCTATTATGGCGGCCATATCAATGATGAAAATTTTAAACATCGCCGTAATATTTTACGACGTTTTCAAGTTTTTAGCGGCGTTTTAAAAATGCCGCTAAAACACAAAATTTCCTGCCGTGTTTCTAGCAGGACTTTTCAGTTTCTTCTTATTTTGTATTGTTATATTATATATGTCAGGCCCAATTTGCATTCGGCCTATATGCGAGGATGGGCCCATACTGAATTGGTATTTAAGAAGTTCAGCCCAAGCTTGGTGTGAAAACTAAAAAAATAAGTTATTTATGCAAAATTATCAACCAGTCCTATCTGTTATGATTATTACCCAATAAACCTTTGAGTGAGATTTTTATGGATCTATTAGTTTTAAAAATCATACTTTTGCATTTGAAATCATTAAATAGTAGAGAATTTGCTGTGAAAATTGCAGATTAACAAATTAGGTTGTAAGGTTAAAATTGAAAACATAGCCCTATTAATTTAAAGTAAGACTTGTTGGACATGTTTTATTAGTAGGATTATAGCATATAATTGAAATTGTTAGTCCATGGACTCACGATCCCATGTTTGATGCAAATTTTATTAATCAGATTACATGTACGACGGACATTCAATCTAACGAAATTGTCAAATTTTTAATATTAAGAGAGATTAAGAATCATAATTTTAAGTATAAAAGTAAAAGAAAAAAATGATTATCTCACTAATTTAATTGAATTACTAATCTTACATTATTTCATGAAATTATTAATTTTTTTACTATTAATTTCATTAATCAAGGCGGTTTGGTATAAAGTCCGGTCTATCATACCAGCACAAGTCTCCATTAGCCTGGAAGGAAATATGGTTTGGCTCATATTGTTATTGGGATCGGTGGTCCAACATGCCCTATTTGTGAAAGGTAGAGGTCTGCTCTCACCCTTTTTCCCCCTCTCTCTACATGATCATTTTAAGGGTTACAATGGTCTTTTGCATGAAATTGGGTAGAAATTTTTTTTTTTTTTTTAAATGTGGATAAAATATAAATAAAATGTAATTATATTTCACTCATATTTTTTCTTTTTTTTAGTTCTTATCCAAATTCATAATCCAAACACAACATTAAAGTAATACTATAATGATCATATTTTTTAAACATTTATCTATGATCTTCTTTTGCGTTCAACGATTCAATTTTTCAAATAATAGAAATTATATGATGTAAATACAATTATCAGTAACCTATAAATATAATATGATATACCAGCACATAAGTCTCCATTAGCCTGGAAGGAAATATGGTTTGGCTCATATTGTTATTGGGATCGGTGGTCCAACATGCCCTATTTGTGAAAGGTAGAGGTCTGCTCTCACCCTTTTCCCCCCTCTCTCTACATGATCATTTTAAGGGTTACAATGGTCTTTTGCATGAAATTGGGTAGAAATTTTTTTTTTTTTAAATGTGGATAAAATATAAATAAAATGTAATTATATTTCACTCATATTTTTTCTTTTTTTTAGTTCTTATCCAAATTCGTAATCCAAACACAACATTAAAGTAATACTATAATGATCATATTTTTTAAACATTTATCTATGATCTTCTTTTGCGTTCAACGATTCAATTTTTCAAATAATAGAAATTATATGATGTAAATACAATTATCAGTAACCTATAAATATAATATGATATAAATACAATGATATGACAAAATTTAAATTTAAAAAAATTACAAATACGATGGTTAAGTTATTAAGACTAGCTGTTGGTCCTCCCATTTTGGATTTGAACCATCAAGTGGCCCCTTTAATTTATTCATGCCGTACAAGGTGAGCTAGATGGGTTTATAATGCAAATCAAACCAAAAATAACTCCTTGAGTTGTCGGCAAACTTATAATTATATTTTTGTACCCGTTTGACAACTGTTAACAAAGGTCCAAAACACTGCCGAGCAAACTTCTTGTGCAGCAGGACCTCCAATCCTAAAATCATAGACCAAATCCTATAGTGTATTCACTTATTTTAATAATCAAAACTGAATCATATATTAAAAATATTAAATTAAATCAAATCGTACAATTCATTCTGGCTGAATTAATTTATAATTATTTTAATTTTATTTTCTATGTGACCAAACAATCCCTCTCCTTCTCCCTCTTTATCTCTCTATTTATTTCCTTTGGGCTTGTTTGATTAACATGATTAATAGTGAAAGAATTAATAATTTCATAAATTAATATAAGATTAGTTATCCAATTAAATTAATGAGATAACAATTTATTCTATTCATTTTTTTTTTCTTTCATATTAGAAATTATGATCCCTAGCCTAACCCCTCTCAACATTAAAAATTTGTTAATTTTGCCAAATTGAATGTCTGACGTATATGTAATCCGATTAATAAAATTAGCAATCAAATTAATGAGATAATCATTTTTTATTTTAATTTCTTTTTTAAAAAAAATTACCAATATATTATATTTTAGTATTAAGATTCCTCATGAGTATAATCAAATTTCATTGTGAATAACTAAGTCTTTTTCTTCATAACTTATTCCCAAAAAGTTTGCTTCTTCTTAATGGTTTGTTATTCCAAATCTACCCTTATAATTAAATATAAATAAAAAAAATTGTATAAACAAATTTAATTTACTTTAAAAATTATATTTTTAATTGTAAAAATTAAACAAATTATATTGAACAATATTGTAAACAAGAATTTGATCAAAGGTTTTGGCATAAGATTCATCAGTTTATTTTGTCTCGTATTATGAAAATATGTGGTAAATAATTCAAAAGGCCTAATTTTACTAATATTACATTGAAATAGGGAAATAATACCATAGCAAATCCAGATACTTTTCAAAGGGTGAGGTAAAATGAATTTATGCCTACGTTTTTATTTAATAGAATGTGCATATTTTTAAAATTTCAAAAAGATTTCCTTTCTAATTAAGGTAAACTTGGAACAAAACATATTACAGTGGAGAAATAAATTTTTTTGGAAACAAGTTATCAAAAATAGGATTTAATTGCTGATATCAAAATTTGATAGGATTTTCAATAATATTGTATTAATTATTGTTGGTTTCCTATGAGTGCATGGATGGGATTGAGACTTGTTGAGTATAGATGATCCAAGGCATATTTTCCTATCTTCATGTCTATCTGTATTTTGGAGTTAACAAAAATAGCCGCATAATCCCATCACCTTATCTTTCTACTATCCATCCAAACACCAAACAAAAAAACAAAAGAATCCAACCAACCACTTGCAACCTTACTAAGAAACAAGACAGAGAAGTGCGAGTTTGTATTTTTCTCCTTCAAAATGTGACATATCAAAGGGAAAAAACAACAAATCTAACACACACACACACACACACACTTCCTTAATACATAATAGACTTATAACAAAACTCAAATACATATATCATCAACTTAAACACACAACCCAACTAAAAATCACTTCATAACATCATCAAACCAAGTACTCCTCTCAAATCCATCTATTGGCAACTCTAACCTTCAATCCATGCTTCATGTAGAGAATGATAGAAGCATTAGGAACCACGGGGTGACCTTCCACAACTCTAACATTGTAGTTATGGATTATTGCAGCCGAAACCGCCTTCATTTGAGTGAAAGCAACTTCTTTCCCCAAACAAGTCCTCGGTCCCGCATTGAACGCGAAGAACTTGTAAGATGGCTCATGTTTGATTGTTCCTCGGTCAGATATCCATCGCTCTGGCTTGAACTCCAAGCAATCCTCTCCCCACACAAATTCCATCCTCCCCATCGCATACAAAGAGAAAAGTATTTTCATTTTCGGGTGAACACGGTGCCCCGTGGGCAGTGTGTCCACGTGAGTGGGCTCTTTGTGTTGGATTGGAACTGGTGGGTAAAGCCTCAATGACTCACACAATGCAGCATGCAAATAAACCAACTTGCTTAGCTCTTTTGCCTCAAAAAGCCGCCATTTCTCAGTTTCTCCTTCAGGTATAACCGATTTAAGCTCTTCTCTGATCTTTTCTTCAACGGTTGGATGCTGCGAAACAAGCCAAATAAACCATGTCAGAGCCGAACTAGTCGTGTCTCGCCCTGCAAGCATAAGATTCAAAACAGTGTCCCTCAAGAACTTATCATCGCGCTTTAAATTGAAGGTGTCATCTTCAATCAAGTATGATGTTAGTAAGTCCACAGCTTCTTCTTCTTCTTCTTCTTCTCCCTCTTTTAACTCGGCTTTTTTGCTCATTTCTTCTCTCTTCATCGATACATATTTATTGATAACGCGATCTAAGGTTTTCCAAGCTTCGCTTAATTTCTTCTCGTGTCCGATCCCTAGCCAACTTTGGATCCTCCACACGGTTTCAGGCACAACGTGCCTCATAAGCAAGGCTTCTTCGGCGTCATCCATGGCTTTCGCAAAGGGCACATCTGGAAATTCAATTGAAAGACAACCCGGGTCATAACTAGTTATCAAAATACAAGTAGTATCAAATGTGAACCTTTGAAATAAATCTTGCAAGTCCACAATCAGGCCTTGTTCGGACACATGGTTAAGAACCAGGATCAACCCTGTCTCCACTTTTCCCCGACTAGTCTTGACTAAAAACCGATAGAATCGCTGGTGGTTGATCAACACGCGGGCGAGCTTTCTCTGATTCTTCCACAGTTCTGCGTCGGAGTTGAAAATCCCATCTCCCAAAACATCAAACATTTTCAAGAACTCGGGTCCTTTAGGGAAATTAGGGAAATTGGAACTCATGACATGGTGCACGTTAGCAGGATCAACTGTGCCTAGCATGTCCATATTAGCAAACCAAGGGCCTTTTAGCAAAAAAGTACCCCCAGTTCGCCCTAGGATTTCGGTACACATTTCATGAACCCGGTTCACATGGCGGAGCATGCTCGGCAACATGCCAAGAACCGGCCAGTTCCGGGGCAAGTCATTGTTGTCACCAAAGATATACAAGATAATGAAGAAGATGAATGCTAAGAGGATTTCGAAATAGCCTAGTGAGACCATTTTTGAGCTTTCGTGTGAAAAGCTTTTTCTTTCTTTTGTAATTTTTTTAGATGGGATTTGTGTGAAAAGCTTGGAATGGGCTTGCACGATTTATATAGGTAGATAAAACTCCTGTAATGCCAGGTTAGATCCTTATAATCTCGCAAATAAGTAAATTACACTCAAATTAATTAAAATCCTCCTACTCATATTAGTTATGCTTTAAACAAATAAAATTTGTTTGCAGATAGAGATGATAGAGCTCATTTAATCCAATTAATAAACAAAAATTCTCAGCAATCCACTTTGTAGATTAGACAGTGATGTTTGGATTTGTAAGGTCTACCACAGGTCTCAAATTAATTATCGAAAGAGTAATGATTCATCCCCCTTTTCCCCCACCCCCTTTGACCCCCTCTCTCTCTCATTAGTTACCTTTTCTTTTTCTTTTTCTTTTTTTTCCTGCTCCTCCAATCACCACCCGCCACGTGGCAAAGGGGGGGTGAGGGGGTGACCCCCAAAAGGGGGTCCCAAACATTATTCTTATCGAAATCATTTATTTTTTTAAGGGAAAAGTTAGGGATCATGAAAATTTTGTCATGAAAATGATCATGAAAAATTTATGATCCTTGGATTACCATGATTAGTGTGTGGTGCTTTATTCTAAGTGTAATCCAAGGGTCACAAAACTTTCATGATTATTTTTATGAAAGATTTTTCATGATACCTATCATTGTTATTTTTTTAAACCACAATGTATAAACTATCTATATAACAAATCATGTCAATTCAATAACCATAACTAAGTTAATTTATTACATTTGTCACCCAAAAAATAGATAATTTTATTTTCAAATAATATTTATCATTTTTTTTTTTGGTGCAAATAATTATAAACTATTTTTTCATGAATAAGCTAAATATTATAATTTAAAAAATAAACTACTTGAATTATTGAAATTGACCCATAATAAATGCCACGAGCCCCAACATCCCCACCCATACTAAGCCTGTCCAAAAATCATGGTCAAATTTATGTACAATACAGTGCATTTAGTTATCATTTTCTTTTTAAAAAATAAGAAGTTGAATCCTTTTGAATTAAATCTTTTTTTATATGGAATGTTAAATACTGCTCCAGTTTTAATATTAAAGTTCCACAAAGAGCTTTCTGGTTTTGTCAAAATTAACTATAATGTTAACATTGATTTTCTTTTCATTTTGGGTAAATAGTATCACTATTTGATTAGTATTATTATGGTGTTTTGTTTGGATTTATTTCAAATTTAAATATGAATTTCACCGTTATATTCGGATTCGTGAGACTCATTACGGTTTCCATTATAATGATATTAATCATTCATTCTGTAAGATCTTTCATATATGTCATCTATGAAAAAAATTAGATCAATTTGATAATCGTAATTTTTTTTGTTTTATTTTATCATATTTTTGTCTAAAACAAATAGATGACAAGTGTATTTTTTTAAAATAAATTATTCATCTTTTGGAAACAATGGCAAAAATGAAAAAGTTGCAGTTATGGAATGAACCAACTATTCAGTGTGAATGACTAAGGCCAAGTTTGGGAAGACTAAAAAAGTGCACTTTTTGTCTTTTTGGACTAAAAAATTGAGGTTGAAAATATGGATGTTTGGGTTAACTTTTTGACTTTTTATTGAAAAATGTGTAATAAAAAATTGTAAAAATTGATTTGTAGAGAAAAATTTGAATTGGGAGTTGTGCAGCCGTAATTATTGACTTTTGGTGAATAGTGTTAACTTTTTAGCTTTTTGAGTAACTTTTTGGCTTTTTGGCTTATTTGGGACTTCCCAAACTTAGCCTTATTATTCAATCTCAGTCACGTGAGGGTCTACCTGTGAGAGTGGCATTGTTACTTGCTTGGCTGCTTTTCTTTTTCCTTTCTTGTTTTTGTTTTGCTTGGGCTTGGTTGGTTCCTCACCTTGCTGGGTTAGAGCTAGCATATAATTGAGTTTTCTCTCTGTGCCAATTTAGTTGAGTTCGTCTAGGCCTCGTTTGGCAAGAGGCTATTTTAGCTAATTAGTCAAAAAGTTACTAAATTAGTCAAAAAGCCAACAACTCATACCAAAAAGTCAAAGATTCTCTTTTCTCTCTACTTTTTGCACATCTTTTCGTAATTAGCCAAAAAGTCATCCCAAACATATAAGTTTTTTTTACCTACCTTTTTAGCCAAATAACTAAAAAGTTACTAAATTAGCCTGTTCCCAAACGAGGCCTTAGTTATGATACTTTTTACTCTTTCCTACTTTATTGATGCTTGCGATGTATTTTGTATTTCCCTTTTATCAATGAAGTTACCTTTTTTGTTGATCCAAAAAAAAAAACATTGGATGAACCCACTATTTTTTTTTTTTCCATTGATGATATACATGGAAGACCTGACTAAATGAATAATTCGGATCATTAAAATAAAACTCGTGATGAACATAATAGTAAGTTGAGATTTGAACTTAAATTATAAAATTACATCATACTTATATTATTTTCTTTAATAATAGTTAAAATTAATAGAATATAATTTAATGCCAAAATCATTTACTATTGGCATTAATTTATTGTTGCCAACCTTATCCCTATGGGTCGAAGGCAAACTCATAAATAATATCTTAAAAAACAAAAATTTTAAATTTTGCTTGTATATATATAAACACTAAGAGTGATAAACTAAACAAATTTTGGGGGGGATAGTTAAAATTAATAGAATATAATTTAATGCCAAAATCATTTACTATTGACATTAATTTATTGTTGCCAAACTTATCCCTATGGGTTTAAGGCAAACTCATAAATTGTATCTTAAAAAACAAAAATTTTAAATTTTGCTTGTATGTATATAAACACTAAGAGTGATAAACTAAACAAATTTTGGGGGGGATAGTTAAAATTAATTTTTGGGTGGGGGGGTCTTTAATAATAGTTAAAATTAATAGAATATAATTTAATGCCAAAATCATTTACTATTGACATTAATTTGTTGTTGCCAAATTTATCCCTATGGGTTTAAGGCAAACTCATAAATTGTATCTTAAAAACAAAAATTTTAAATTTTGCTTGTATGTATATAAACACTAAAAGTGATAACTAAACAAGATTTTTTTTTTTTTTTGGTTGGGTGGGGGGGTCTTTTTTCTTTAATAATAGTTAAAATTAATAGAATATGATTTAATGCCAAAATCATTTACTATTGACATTAATTTATTGTTGCCAAACTTATCCCTAGGCTGGCCTGATTTTTATGGGTCTAAGGCAAACTCATAAGTAGTATCTTAAAAAACAAAAATTTTAAATTTTGCCTGTATATATATAAACACTAAAAGTGATAAACTAAACAAAATTGGGGTGGTTTGGTTTTAATAATTTTTTTTTTTATTTTCTTTTTTTGAAATGTAACTCTTATGTCTATTAATTTGTTTTTCTCAGAAGAGATAAAGAGTGATCACTTTTAGATAGAAAAGAGAAATGGTTGAAACCGAATAATAAAAGTAAATAAGTTACTTTAATTAGTAAAGGAAAAAAGAGTTACAAAATGAAAAATAACTCAAAAACTATAAGCAAATCAAACCAAAATTTTATGAAAAATATCTAATAGGAATTAAATATTAGTAACATTCTTTATAAGAAAAATCATTTATTATAGAAGATCGAAAAATTAAAATAATTTATTATAGAAAATAGAAAAATTAAGTATAAATTAACAGAGAACAGATGAGATATTTGTCACAGTATAAGTGAAAACTACACTCTTCGGACACAATTATCACTTGCACTTCGTTAATTTCAAAATTAAAATTAACTTTATTGTTTTCTTTATTTATTTAATTAGTTTAGGAGACAGTATAAGTGAAAACTACACCCTTCGGACACAATTATCGCTTGCACTTCGTTAATTTGAAAATTAAAATTAACTTTATTGTTTTCTTTATTTATATAATTAGTTTAGAAGGGCTATGAATTCAATTAGAACCATAAATTTAGAGACTTATTATTTCCACTCTACTTATTTATAAATACACCCCGGAATTGTCCTTCATGTGTTTTAACATTATTCATTGACATGACATAACATAACACACATTGACAATTCACATTGGAGATGGCTCCTAATAATTGGAGTGTACGTGTGTACTAATGGTATTTCTTGGTAAAGGTAAAGGAAAATGTTTGAGGGTCACAATTTTTGTAATTATAATAGTTTAAAATTATCAAAATGATGTCGTTTTGGCATGTTTTACACCTAAAACGACGTTGTTTTGACAGTTTTAAGCCATTGTGACCACAAAAATTGTGACCCTCTAACATTGTTGAAGTTTAAAATATTAGAGCATGATAGATTGTTTAAATTTTATCTTCAAATATTATTAAAATTTTATTTTTTATTTTAAGAATTATTTTTTTATTTATTTTTCCTAACAGACTCCTTATTATTTTATTATTCTATTAACAAATTCCTTATTTTTTCTCTATTTTATTAAAATATAATTTTTAATTATAAATTTTAAAAAAATAAAAATCATAAATGTGTACTGCAGGTCCTAAACAAAAAATAAAAAAATAATAATAATAATTATAAGGGTCACTATAGTAATTCTTATTTTAGAGAAGTGTTTAAGGGATCTAATAGAAGGATATAAGGAGCCACTAATTCCTTAAAATAGGTAAGGATGAAATTCAGATGTTCTATTAGGATGCTCTCAGTATAATTTTTATTACACACCCTTTAAACGTTTAACATATGTCCTATGATGCACATTAATAATATCATTTATAAAATAAGAATAAAGCTAAGTGTACAAAAATGATTAAGAAAATCAATTATAGATAAGACACAAACGGCAAATCTCACATTCAATCACCAACAAAACTCGATGGGTGATCTAATTGTGTTTGTGGCAAAGCGCATATAACAAATAGAGTGAGAATAACATTATGCTAAATTTATAACCACTTAATGCAATCATTAATTGAATATTTATTCTAATAATTAATTCATATTAAATGTCAATATTACACATGTTATAAAAGAATTTGGGGCAATTACACACACACACAAAAAAAAAACACCTAAGAGTTTGACCCTTATAACAAAATAAATACTAAATTTTTAATTTTTAATTTTTAATTTTATCAATTTAAATCTGAATTTTTTACAAACAATGCTACATATACTAAAATTCTTATTAAAAATCTTACTAAAAGTATGTGTTTAAACATTATTTGATTTTTAAATCTCATTACTTTTTTTGACAATCAATCATATTTGGGCACTTGCATTTTCAGTAAGATTTTTAATAAAAGTGTTAGTATTCATAGAATTATTTAATTTTTATTTATTTTCAATCTAAACCATTTATATATTTATGTTAAATAAAACTGATTAAAAATATTTTAATCATTAAACTCAATAAAAAATTATATTTTAGACATTTTATATACATTT